AACCTGGGATTAGAAACCCGCACTATCGCCCTACATGCATTCCCCCATACACTTCGCATTCAATACTCATTCTACCAAGTTGCTTCACGTTATGATCCTGCATTTGAAAGCCCTTTTTGAATATTGCGGCCAACTGTATGTGGCCAGCTGTGTTTGATGGTACGGTACGGTACGGGATAGCGCCAGGCGTGACACAAACACCAAATTAAAGCTGTGTGGACCCTGGCTAGCGCCAGACGTTACTGAAGTAACGTCTTCTGCATAGCTACGGGAATAGTTAGTTTTAGGGCATGCTGTCACGTTTTGTCTCTTTGTTCTCTGTGTTTGCACTGTCGGTTTTTCTGAGTCAGGATTTCGATTTTCCACACGAGCAATGCCCAATTGGCTAACCCCGCCTCTAAAGTACATTTTGACGGAGCTGAAGGTTATTGCGTCGCAAGTGGGCGTCAAAACGCGACAGGACATCTCCAAGGCGAGTAGTTCCAGATTGCAGCTGTATGCCTTCGTGTGGGCTAAGGCATCGCCGAGAATATAATTATTTGTACCTATTTTCCTTTCCTGTTCGTCTGGAAAAATGCAGGACTATGAATACCACAGTCGCGTAGCAGCCGATCCGGCTTTGGCCGGACCAGTTTCTCGCCCGACCACGCCCAGAATGCAGAATTTTGCACCCTGATTTCAAATTTTTCCCAGGGAGAGATCCCAAACCCCCCCCCCCCCCTCCGGCCGGACCACCTCCAACTGCGGTGCTGAGCGCCTGTACCATAGAAATTGCACTCTAAAATGCTGTGGTGTCTGACCTGTGAGGTACAGTCACACTTCAGTGGCCATGCTTCATCATGGCTACATAGTACAGTGTACAGTGTACACACGTTTGACGATTCACTATTGTCCGACGACGTGATGGCAAAGGTGTTGGCATACAGTACTGTCAGGCGCTGAAGAACGTAGTGTCGAAGAGCAAACTGGCCAGAATTTCACCAAGCACTACATACCAATGTATACACAGTGACTCAACTATGCATAGACCATAGTACATGATACTAAGAAGAACGACCTGGGCAACGAGGCTGATCCCCCCACTCCCCTGTTCTTCGTCGACCGACAGTACTGTAGCTATGTGAGCTGAGACTGGCCAGCGTCAAGGCCTGCCCCAACGTGTTGTGTTCCGGTGTGGCCGCCACAACGTGTTGTGTTCCGATGTGGCCGCCCCGGCGTATTGACGGCGTGCAGTGCTGCTGGTGAAATACAACCCTGCAAGTCAGTGTCAAGCCGGGGGGGGGGGGGCTATGGAACCCCTGACCTGTGAACATGCGGGGGGGGGGGGGGGGGTGCAGCCCATGACCAAAAATCAAGATCGGTAAAAAAGAGAATCATTTTTCTGGGGATGTCGGTGTTTTGTAGAATCTCGAGCGAACTCTCCATGAGAGAAAACTAATCAGATGCCTGTCGACGTCTAGGAGGCGCTGTCGAGACTGATAGCATCTTTTTTCTGGCATGCACCGCTGTTGAAAATCATGCTCGAGTGCGTGGACGTGCTGATCGATCACGTGCGCACTCGACGTGCACACGTTGTGTCCTTCTATCACGGCCTCGGTCACGTGGTTGCAACCATCACGTACCGGAGAGCGCTTTGGCTGCCGAACGTAATTGATGAGCGCATCGAATTGATCACACGGATCCATGATGTTCGGGAAATGGCGTCGATGCACCGCCTGCATCCGTCTATAATGCAGAGCCGCTGAGTGTTCATTGGTCGTAGGAGTCGGTATAAAAAGACTCTGCTTGCTTTCGTCATACATCATTACGCTCAATTCGTCAGCAGGGTTTTCATGCAATTTTCATGCTCTCGTCATCATGCCTGCCTCGTGCTCCAACATCTCGTGCGGACTTTCGAAGTTCGTGCATAAATTTGAAGGTGGTAACTACGATAAAGCCGTGTACTTCCACCCGAACGTGAATAAAATCGGACAAGATGCGTGGAGAATCGACAGCGCCGATATCAAAACCTATCTCAAGCCCCTGGTAGGTGAACAGACCGTCATCTGGGCGGGCATTTACAAAACTCCCATGTGGTACCTTCAACCGACAGATTTGATTGCTTTCCACGCTTTCGTCGTCTTTCAAACGAGAAACTGGTGGTGGTCGGCGGAAAAAACCACCGACGGTGTCAGCATATGCAGAGGCAAGACTCGCTCAAGCGTGAGATCTTCCTATCGAAGCACCAATCGAAAAACTCCGATAGAGGAGATTATTGCTGACCAATCACATGTAAATCTGCAGGATATGATAGATTTCCTCTACGACTCCAATCTCGTCAAGGGCATTTACAACGTTGTAACAAACAACTGCCATACGTTTGCCTCCGCTCTGTTCAACGAACTTGCAGCTACCCACTACTTCAATCACATCGAACTTCGGCATGCCAAACCCATCGACTCTGAGCATGCAATCGAATGAGTACTCGACCCCCATCCAGACACACACATTTAGCACAGATATGTTGATTTTAAAAATTTTAATTAGATATTGTTGATATCTATCTGTGCTTGGATCATCGTAATGACACTGTTGACTGGCAATTCTCCGTAGTATGACGTTAGCTTCATCATATAGTTGGTCAGATGGCTGACGGTCGATAGATGATGTTTTAAATGTTCAAGTGTCCGCCATTGGTTGTCGCTGTATGGGAGGAAACACATCAAAACATGTATAAGATCTCTGGTATTTCAAATAAAGAGAATTGCACCACAGATCACTTACCAAGAGCAGAGAAACTCAGGCTGTAGACCGGCCTCCAGCTTCTTCCTGTGTCCCTTCGACTTGAGGTGGTCGACGAACGGCTGGAGGAACATGTCGAGCATGAAAAGAGCATCTTGATGGTTGATTGAATGGGACTGATCAAGGTGGATCCAATCACTTTTATCCCCGCCCAGTTGTTCGTTGGTTGAAGGGTGCGGTGCGCGCACAGTTCAACATTAAAACTCTGCGCGATGATCATGGAGTCTGCTGTTCAGGATGTGAAGCGGGTAAATTGGGCGGTACCGTGAATACCGCATGGTGAACATCTCTTTGAAACGGAGGTAGATTGTTGAAACTCGCGCGATAAAGATGATGATCATGGTGGCTACCACTCGAAAAGGATGTGAAGAGGGTAAAGCGGTGACGTGAGTACTACATCTCTTTGAAACGTACACGATTCATATAGTTGAAAACCGGTAAAGATGATGGTCATGGACCCCGCGTCACGTTCAAACTTGCCGTCTGTTCTAGTTGATTCCAGAAACTTGCGCCTGATCCGAGTACGCTGTGTGTACTCTGAGTATCGTGAGGAGTGGGACACTATCGACAATTTGCTACTCTCTGCTTGATGCAGACAGTGTGCGCGTACGACGCACACATAAGATGATTATTAGGAAATCGAGGCTGCTATTCTATACGCCCGGGGGCCTATACACGGGCTTTTCCGGTATCGGTAACTCTAAACCACCTAAGTTTCCACGGGGAAAGGCCAGGGATCTGGCGTGTGACGTGACTATTAGTACAGTCATGTACTTGCAGGTGTGCAGTATTTAAAAATATGAATCTTCTACTTCTAGCTGAGCCGTTGCTGCTAGGTCGTCGTTTGGAAAATTAATAATAGCTTGCATGGACCTCGGTCCTACCGGTAAGACCATCATACACAGACATGCTGCATGGCCTCTGTTCTAACATTGACCTAAAACTTGACCCTAGACTGTTGCTAAGGGGCTAATGAAGGAGTCCAACAATTTTAGACGTGATTGTACAAGGACTATTACGAAATTCCATGGCAACAGCCCCAGGGCAACCATGGATACGGAGTATGGAATTTTGCATTCCAGCACTGTTGCAGGCTTAGGCTGCGTTTACACGACAACGCTGGGGGCGAAAACGCAACGAAATCCTTTCGGATCCAGGGTTCATTTACACGGTACGCGGAGCAAAACGTAAAAGTTGTGCACCAAAACGGAAGAAAACCAAAACGCTGGCCAAGGTGGAAGAATTTGAAAACGGAAATGTTCTGCCGGATAAATTTGGGTGTGTAAACAGTCGAAACGGCGTGCTGGCCTCGTTTTCCGTCACGTTTGTTTCATTTTCGGCCTTTTACACGGATCCGACAATCCCAAAAATTGTTTTTTACAATTTTCGTCATGTGATGTGTGTTGTCGTGTGCCTGTTTTCAACCATTACTTGAGTGTGATTGGTGCTTCCACGGCAACACTTGGCCCTTTGACGATCTTTGGCGGATCCTTTGCTCTCGTGTAGACGCTTGAAAACGATACAAAAGGAGACCACCTCGGATCGGCTTTGATCGTGTAAACGTAGGAAAACGAAAAAAGAAATGCGGGACTGAAAACGGAAAACTGGCCGTGCGTTGTCGTGTAAACGCAGCCTAAGAAAGATATTAGGTCCTCACCACGATCGATGTGCAATGGTCAAAATTCACTTCCGGCAGAGTTTCTAGCTCTGCGACAGGAGCATGTGCTGCCATTGTGACAATTGATGAAATTGTACGTATGCCATGCACTGGACATAGTCTTGCCTTTGCCCCATTACTTTGCCTTAGGGAGCATCTCATAAGTTCGCATTTATTTTGCAAACGTAACGCATTTCGATTAGACTTTACCCCCCCCCCCCTACCTCCCCCCTCTATTCGAAAGTCTTATCGCACATTTTCTGTGTTTATCTACTGTACACGTCCATGCGGGCCCCATGCTATGCTATGTACATGTACATGGATATGAATGTTTTGCTAGAGCGGTCGTGAATGGCATACAGTAGTACGTGTACCGCATTTACTGAGTACAAGTACACTCAATGACATGTACACGCACATAAACATAGACTTCCTGCACAACAACTGTACTGCTGTGAACGCTGGCCAGGTACACTGTACACTGTTTGATCAGGCTGGTGTGACATTTGACACCTCTGAGTAGCCTGCATGCATGCAGTGCAAGGGTTAGCTGATCGGCAAACACAGGTAGATCTCCACCTAAACACACTCATTTGCTGCAGTGATCTAGCACGGTAGTAGATTGTACAGTTCCAGATAATGTGCGAACAGTCATTTTTCTATTCGAAAAGGGCGCTACCCCTACCCCCGTTTCGAAATGCGTTACGTTTAGAAACAAAATGCGAACTTATGTGATGCTCCCTTACAAAGACCTCATCTCAAAAATTGTTTCAAGAAAATTCTGAACCAAAAGCACTTTGCAGCGTGATTTCTTGGGTCCTACTGGTAGGACGGCATGCAAGCTATCGTTTAGCTTGGGTCAAATATGTCTGTTTGTTTCTCTCTCTGTCTCTCCCCTCCCTCTCTCTCGCTCCCCCCTCTCTCTCTCTCTCCCCCCCCCCTCTCTCTCTGTCTCTCTCTCTCTCTCTCTCTCTCTCTCTCTCTCTCTCTCTCTCTCTCTCTCTCTCTCTCTTCCTCCCCCCCCCCCCCCCCCGTCTCTCTCTGTCTCTCTCTCTCCCTCCATTGTGTGGATGTAGGAAACCGTTACTTTGCTTGCAGGGAAGAGCTAGCGGAATACGTATTTCCCGAAATTGCCCAAGTCCTCCATGAACACTTTTCTCCTCGAGGTAGGTACTTTGTACACTATGGAGTATGGAGTACTATCCGAATGTACATCTACGTGCACTTTCTGTGTACATGATTCTGCAATATACTGTGTACTGCGGACTCCGGTGTCATGTATATACGCACACATACACGCACACACACTCTCTCTCTCTCTCATACACACACACATACACACACACACACACACATTTGCATGCTGCTGTACTGTCTTAAAACCCACAATGTGACATGTAATACAAGCAACCAAATCACAACGGTACATTAGAACAATTCAAGCACACAAGGATATTGAGTACGTGGTTTATAAAATAATTAGTTTTAGGGTATGCTGTCACGTTTTGTCTCTTTGTTCTCTGTGTTTGCACTGTTGGTTCTTTTCTGAGTCAGGATTTCGATTTTCCACACGAGCAATGCCCAATTGGCTAATCCCGCCTCTAAAGTACATTTTGACGGAGCTGAAGGTTATTGCGTCGCAAGTGGGCGTCAAAACGCGACAGGACATCTCCAAGGCGAGTAGTTCCAGATTGCAGCTGTATGCCTTCGTGTGGGCTAAGGCATCGCCGAGAATATAATTATTTGTACCTATTTTCCTTTCCTGTTCGTCTGGAAAAATGCAGGAGGTGGTATTCCATGACTGTGAATACCACAGTCGCGTAGCAGCCGGTCCGGCTGATCCGGCTTTGGCCATACCAGTTTCTCGCCCGACCACGCCCAGAATGCAGAATTTTGCACCCTGATTTCAAATTTTTCCCAGGGAGAGATCCCAACCCCCCCCCCCCCCCCTCCGGCCGGACCACCTCCAACTGCGGTGCTGAGCGCCTGTACCATAGAAATTGCACTCTAACATGTTGTGGTGTCTGACCTGTGAGGTACAGTCACACTTCAGTGGCCATGCTTCATCGTGGCTACATAGTACAGTGTACAGTGTACACACGTTTGACGATTCACTATTGTCCGACGCCGTGATGGCAAAGGTGTTGGCATACAGCACTGTCAGGCGCTGAAGAACGTAGTGTCGAAGAGCAAACTGGCCAGAATTTCACCAAGCACTACATACCAATGTATACACAGTGACTCAACTATGCATAGACCATAGTACATGATGCTAAGAAGAACGACCTGGGCAACGAGGCTGATCCCCCCACTCCCCTGTTCTTCGTCGACCGACAGTACTGTAGCTATGTGAGCTGAGACTGGCCAGCGTCAAGGCCTGCCCCAACGTGTTGTGTTCCGGTGTGGCCGCCACAACGTGTTGTGTTCCGATGTGGCCGCCCCGGCGTATTGACGGCGTGCAGTGCTGCTGGTGAAATACAACCATGCAAGTCAGTGTCAAGCCGGGGGGGGGGGGGGGGGGCTATGGAACCCCTGACCTGTGAACATGCGGGGGGGGGGGGGGGGGGGGGGGTGCAGCCCATGACCAAAAATCAAGATCGGTAAAAAAGAGAATCATTTTTCTGGGGATGTCGGTGTTTTGTAGAATCTCGCGCGAACTCTCCATGAGAGAAAACTAATCAGATGCCTGTCGACGTCTAGGAGGCGCTGTCGAGACTGATAGCATCTTTTTTCTGGCATGCACCGCTGTTGAAAATCATGCTCGAGTGCGTGGACGTGCTGATCGATCACGTGCGCACTCGACGTGCACACGTTGTGTCCGTCTATCACGGCCTCGGTCACGTGATTGCAACCATCATCACGTACCGGAGAGCCCTTTGGCTGCCGAACGTAATTGATGAGCGCATCGAATTGATCACACGGATCCATGATGTTCGGGAAATGGCGTCGATGCACCGCCTGCATCCGTCTATAATGCAGAGCCGCTGAGTGTTCATTGGTCGTAGGAGTCGGTATAAAAAGACTCTGCTTGCTTTCGTCATACATCATTACGCTCAATTCGTCAGCAGGGTTTTCATGCAATTTTCATGCTCTCGTCATCATGTCTGCCTCGTGCTCCAACATCTCGTGCGGACTTTCGGAGTTCGTGCATAAATTTGAAGGTGGTAACTACGATAAAGCCGTGTACTTCCACCCGAACGTGAATAAGATCGGACAAGATGCGTGGAGAATCGACAGCGCCGATATCAAAACCTATCTCAAGCCCCTGGTAGGTGAAGAGACCATCATCTGGGCGGGCATTTACAAAACTCCCATGTGGTACCTTCAACCGACAGATTTGATTGCTTTCCACGCTTTCGTCGTCTTTCAAACGAGAAACTGGTGGTGGTCTGCGGAAAAAACAACCGACGGTGTCAGCATATGCAGAGGCAAGACTCGTTCAAGCGTGAGATCTTCCTATCGAAGCACCAATCGAAAAACTCCGATAGAGGAGATTATTGCTGACAAATCACATGTAAATCTGCAGGATATGATAGATTTCCTCTACGACTCCAATCTCGTCAAGGGTATTTACAACGTTGTAACAAACAACTGTCATACGTTTGCCTCCGCTCTGTTCAACGAACTTGCAGCTACCCACTACGTCAATCATATTGCACTTCGGCATGCCAAACCCATCGACTCGGAGCATGCAATCGAATGAGTACTCGACCCCCATCCAGACACACACATTTAGCACAGATATGTTGATTTTAAAATGTTTAATTATAATTTCAGTAGATCATTCTCAGCTTGTATGAGTGTTATAACGCTGTTGGCCGGTATTTCCCCGTAGTATGAGGTCAGCTTCTCCGTATAATGTTGAAGATGTCTTGACGTTGCAGAATGATCTTTCATTTCTTCTATTGTTCGCCATTGGTTGTCGCTGCATGGAAGGAAACAGATTAAAACATGTATAAGATCTCTGGTATTTCAAATAAAGAGAATTGCACGACAGATTACTTACCAAGAACACATAAATTCAGGCTGCATCCCGGCCTCCAGCTTCCTCCGGTGGTTTTTCGAGCGGAGATGCTCGACGAACGGCCGGAGGCCGGTCATAGTCTTCGAACACAAGGAACAAGAGAGGAGCATTTTGTCTCATTCAGGTTTGTGGAATGGGGCTGATCAAGGTGGATCGAATCACTTTTATCCCCGCCCAGTTGTTCGTTGGTTGAAGGGTGCGGCGCGCGCGCAGTTCAACATTAAAACTCTGCGCGATGATCATGGAGTCTGCTGCTCAGGATGTGAAGCGGATAAATTGGGCGGTACCGTGAATACCGCATGGTGAACATCTCTTTGAAACGGAGGTAGATTGTTGAAACTCGCGCGATAAAGATGATGATCATGGTGGCTACCACTCGAAAAGGATGTGAAGAGGGTAAAGCGGTGACGTGAGTACTACATCTCTTTGAAACGTACACGATTCATATAGTTGAAAACCGGTAAAGATGATGATCATGGACCCCGCGTCACGTTCAAACTTGCCGTCTGTTCTAGTTGATTCCAGAAACTTGCGCCTGATCCGAGTACGCTGTGTGTACTCTGAGTATCGTGAGGAGTGGGACACTATCGACAATTTGCTACTCTCTGGTGGATGCAGACAGTGTGCGCGTACGACGCACACATAAGATGATTATTAGGAAATCGAGGCTGCTATTCTATACGCCCGGGGGCCTATACACGGGCTTTTCCGGTATCGATAACTCTAAACCACCTAAGTTTCCACGGGGAAAGGCCAGGGATCTGGCGTGTGACGTGACTATTAGTACAGTCATGTACTTGCAGGTGTGCAGTATTTAAAAATATGAATCTTCTACTTCTAGCTGAGCCGTTGCTGCTAGGTCGTCGTTTGGAAAATTAATAATAGCTTGCATGGACCTCGGTCCTACCGGTAAGACCATCATACACAGACATGCTGCATGGCCTCTGTTCTAACATTGACCTAAAACTTGACCCTAGACTGTTGCTAAGGGGCTAATGAAGGAGTCCAACAATTTTAGACGTGATTGTACAAGGACTATTACGAAATTCCATGGCAACAGCCCCAGGGCAACCATGGATACGGAGTATGGAATTTTGCATTCCAGCACTGTTGCAGGCTTAGGCTGCGTTTACACGACAACGCTGGGGGCGAAAACGCAACGAAATCCTTTCGGATCCAGGGTTCATTTACACGGTACGCGGAGCAAAACGTAAAAGTTGTGCACCAAAACGGAAGAAAACCAAAACGCTGGCCAAGGTGGAAGAATTTGAAAACGGAAATGTTCTGCCGGATAAATTTGGGTGTGTAAACAGTCGAAACGGCGTGCTGGCCTCGTTTTCCGTCACGTTTGTTTCATTTTCGGCCTTTTACACGGATCCGACAATCCCAAAAATTGTTTTTTACAATTTTCGTCATGTGATGTGTGTTGTCGTGTGCCTGTTTTCAACCATTACTTGAGTGTGATTGGTGCTTCCACGGCAACACTTGGCCCTTTGACGATCTTTGGCGGATCCTTTGCTCTCGTGTAGACGCTTGAAAACGATACAAAAGGAGACCACCTCGGATCGGCTTTGATCGTGTAAACGTAGGAAAACGAAAAAAGAAATGCGGGACTGAAAACGGAAAACTGGCCGTGCGTTGTCGTGTAAACGCAGCCTAAGAAAGATATTAGGTCCTCACCACGATCGATGTGCAATGGTCAAAATTCACTTCCGGCAGAGTTTCTAGCTCTGCGACAGGAGCATGTGCTGCCATTGTGACAATTGATGAAATTGTACGTATGCCATGCACTGGACATAGTCTTGCCTTTGCCCCATTACTTTGCCTTAGGGAGCATCTCATAAGTTCGCATTTATTTTGCAAACGTAACGCATTTCGAATAGACTTTATCCCCCTACCTCCCCCCTCTATTCGAAAGTCTTATCGCACATTTTCTGTGTTTATCTACTGTACACGTCCATGCGGGCCCCATGCTATGCTATGTACATGTACATGGATATGAATGTTTTGCTAGAGCGGTCGTGAATGGCATACAGTAGTACGTGTACCGCATTTACTGAGTACAAGTACAATCAATGACATGTACACGCACATAAACATAGACTTCCTGCACAACAACTGTACTGCTGTAAACGCTGGCCAGGTACACTGTACACGGTTTGATCAGGCTGGTGTGACATTTGACACCTCTGAGTAGCCTGCATGCATGCAGTGCAAGGGTTAGCTGATCGGCAAACACAGGTAGATCTCCACCTAAACACACTCATTTGCTGCAGTGATCTAGCACGGTAGTAGATTGTACAGTTCCAGATAATGTGCGAACAGTCATTTTTTCTATTCGAAAAGGGCGCTACCCCCTACCCCCGTTTCGAAATGCGTTACGTTTAGAAACAAAATGCGAACTTATGTGATGCTCCCTTACAAAGACCTCATCTCAAAAATTGTTTCAAGAAAATTCTGAACCAAAAGCACTTTGCAGCGTGATTTCTTGGGTCCTACTGGTGGGACGGCATGCAAGCTATCGTTTAGCTTGGGTCAAATATGTCTGTTTGTTTCTCTCTCTGTCTCTCCCCTCCCTCTCTCTCGCTCCCCCCTCTCTCTCTCTCTCCCCCCCCCCCCTCTCTCTCTCTCTCTGTCTCTCTCTCTGTCTCTCTCTTCCTCCCCCCCCCCCCGTCTCTCTCTGTCTCTCTCTCTCCCTCCATTGTGTGGATGTAGGAAACCGTTACTTTGCTTGCAGGGAAGAGCTAGCGGAATACGTATTTCCCGAAATTGCCCAAGTCCTCCATGAACACTTTTCTCCTCGAGGTAGGTACTTTGTACACTATGGAGTACTATCCGAATGTACATCTACGTGCACTTTCTGTGTACATGATTCTGCAATATACTGTGTACTGCGGACTCCGGTGTCATGTATATACGCACACATACACGCACACACACTCTCTCTCTCTCTCATACACACACACACATACACACACACACACATTTGCATGCTGCTGTACTGTCTTAAAACCCACAATGTGACATGTAATACAAGCAACCAAATCACAACGGTACATTAGAACAATTCAAGCACACAAGGATATTGAGTACATGGTTTATAAAATAATTAGTTTTAGGGTATGCTGTCACGTTTTGTCTCTTTGTTCTCTGTGTTTGCACTGTTGGTTCTTTTCTGAGTCAGGATTTCGATTTTCCACACGAGCAATGCCCAATTGGCTAATCCCGCCTCTAAAGTACATTTTGACGGAGCTGAAGATTATTGCGTCGCAAGTGGGCGTCAAAACGCGACAGGACATCTCCAAGGCGAGTAGTTCCAGATTGCAGCTGTATGCCTTCGTGTGGGCTAAGGCATCGCCGAGAATATAATTATTTGTACCTATTTTCCTTTCCTGTTCGTCTGGAAAAATGCAGGAGGTGGTATTCCATGACTGTGAATACCACAGTCGCGTAGCAGCCGGTCCGGCCGATCCGGCTTTGGCCGGACCAGTTTCTCGCCCGACCACGCCCAGAATGCAGAATTTCGCAGCCTGATTTCAAATTTTTCCCAGGGAGAGATCCCAACCCCCCCCCCCCCCTCTCCAGCCGGACCACCTCCAACTGCGGTGCTGAGCGCCTGTACCATAAAAATTGCACTCTAACATGTTGTGGTGTCTGACCTGTGAGGTACAGTCACACTTCAGTGGCCATGCTTCATCGTGGCTACATAGTACAGTGTACAGTGTACACACGTTTGACGATTCACTATTGTCCGACGACGTGATGGCAAAGGTGTTGGCATACAGTACTGTCAGGCGCTGAAGAACGTAGTGTCGAAGAGCAAACTGGCCAGAATTTCACCAAGCACTACATACCAATGTATACACAGTGACTCAACTATGCATAGACCATAGTACATGATACTAAGAAGAACGACCTGGGCAACGAGGCTGATCCCCCCACTCCCCTGTTCTTCGTCGACCGACAGTACTGTAGCTATGTGAGCTGAGACTGGCCAGCGTCAAGGCCTGCCCCAACGTGTTGTGTTCCGGTGTGGCCGCCACAACGTGTTGTGTTCCGATGTGGCCGCCCCGGCGTATTGACGGCGTGCAGTGCTGCTGGTGAAATACAACCATGCAAGTCAGTGTCAAGCCGGGGGGGGGGCTATGGAACCCCTGACCTGTGAACATGCGGGGGGGGGGGGGGGGGGGGGGGTGCAGCCCATGACCAAAAATCAAGATCGGTAAAAAAGAGAATCATTTTTCTGGGGATGTCGGTGTTTTGTAGAATCTCGCGCGAACTCTCCATGAGAGAAAACTAATCAGATGCCTGTCGACGTCTAGGAGGCGCTGTCGAGACTGATAGCATCTTTTTTCTGGCATGCACCGCTGTTGAAAATCATGCTCGAGTGCGTGGACGTGCTGATCGATCACGTGCGCACTCGACGTGCACACGTTGTGTCCGTCTATCACGGCCTCGGTCACGTGATTGCAACCATCATCACGTACCGGAGAGCCCTTTGGCTGCCGAACGTAATTGATGAGCGCATCGAATTGATCACACGGATCCATGATGTTCGGGAAATGGCGTCGATGCACCGCCTGCATCCGTCTATAATGCAGAGCCGCTGAGTGTTCATTGGTCGTAGGAGTCGGTATAAAAAGACTCTGCTTGCTTTCGTCATACATCATTACGCTCAATTCGTCAGCAGGGTTTTCATGCAATTTTCATGCTCTCGTCATCATGTCTGCCTCGTGCTCCAACATCTCGTGCGGACTTTCGGAGTTCGTGCATAAATTTGAAGGTGGTAACTACGATAAAGCCGTGTACTTCCACCCGAACGTGAATAAAATCGGACAAGATGCGTGGAGAATCGACAGCGCCGATATCAAAACCTATCTCAAGCCCCTGGTAGGTGAAGAGACCGTCATCTGGGCGGGCATTTACAAAACTCCCATGTGGTACCTTCAACCGACAGATTTGATTGCTTTCCACGCTTTCGTCGTCTTTCAAACGAGAAACTGGTGGTGGTCGGCGGAAAAAACCACCGACGGTGTCAGCATATGCAGAGGCAAGACTCGCTCAAGCGTGAGATCTTCCTATCGAAGCACCAATCGAAAAACTCCGATAGAGGAGATTATTGCTGACCAATCACATGTAAATCTGCAGGATCTGATAGATTTCCTCTACGACTCCAATCTCGTCAAGGGTATTTACAACGTTGTAGCAAACAACTGCCATACGTTTGCCTCCGCTCTGTTCAACGAACTTGCAGCTACCCACTACGTCAATCACATCGAACTTCGGCATGCCAAACCCATCGACTCGGAGCATGCAATCGAATGAGTACTCGACCCCCATCCAGACACACACATTTAGCACAGATATGTTGATTTTAAAATTTTTAATTACATACTGTTTATATCGATCTGTGCTTGGATCATAGTAATTACACTGTTGATCGGCAATTCTCCGTAGTATGACCTTAGCTTGGTCATATAGTTCTTCATATGGTTGGCGGTTGATAGATGGTGCTTCAAATCTTCCAATGTCCGCCATTGGTTGTCGCTGTATGGGAGGAAACACATCAAAACATGTATAAGATCTCTGGTATTTCAAATAAAGAGAATTGCACCACAGATCACTTACCAAGAGCAGAGAAACTCAGGCTGTAGACCGGCCTCCAGCTTCTTCCTGTGTCCCTTCGACTTGAGGTGGTCGACGAACGGCTGGAGGAACATGTCGAGCATGAAAAGAGCATCTTGATGGTTGATTGAATGGGACTGATCAAGGTGGATCCAATCACTTTTATCCCCGCCCAGTTGTTCGTTGGTTGAAGGGTGCGGCGCGCGCGCAGTTCAACATTAAAACTCTGCGCGATGATCATGGAGTCTGCTGCTCAGGATGTGAAGCGGATAAATTGGGCGGTACCGTGAATACCGCATGGTGAACATCTCTTTGAAACGGAGGTAGATTGTTGAAACTCGCGCGATAAAGATGATGATCATGGTGGCTACCACTCGAAAAGGATGTGAAGAGGGTAAAGCGGTGACGTGAGTACTACATCTCTTTGAAACGTACACGATTCATATAGTTGAAAACCGCTAAAGATGATGGTCATGGACCCCGCGTCACGTTCAAACTTGCCGTCTGTTCTAGTTGATTCCAGAAACTTGCGCCTGATCCGAGTACGCTGTGTGTACTCTGAGTATCGTGAGGAGTGGGACACTATCGACAATTTGCTACTCTCTGGTTGATGCAGACAGTGTGCGCGTACGACGCACACATAAGATGATTATTAGGAAATCGAGGCTGCTATTCTATACGCCCGGGGGCCTATACACGGGCTTTTCCGGTATCGGTAACTCTAAACCACCTAAGTTTCCACGGGGAAAGGCCAGGGATCTGGCGTGTGACGTGACTATTAGTACAGTCATGTACTTGCAGGTGTGCAGTATTTAAAAATATCAATCTTCTACTTCTAGCTGAGCCGTTGCTGGTAGGTCGTCGTTTGGAAAATTAATAATAGCTTGCATGGACCTCGGTCCTACCGGTAAGACCATCATACACAGACATGGTGCATGGCCTCTGTTCTAACATTGACCTAAAACTTGACCCTAGACTGTTGCTAAGGGGCTAATGAAGGAGTCCAACAATTTTAGACGTGATTGTACAAGGACTATTACGAAATTCCATGGCAACAGCCCCAGGGCAACCATGGATACGGAGTATGGAATTTTGCATTCCAGCACTGTTGCAGGCTTAGGCTGCGTTTACACGACAACGCTGGGGGCGAAAACGCAACGAAATCCTTTCGGATCCAGGGTTCATTTACACGGTACGCGGAGCAAAACGTAAAAGTTGTGCACCAAAACGGAAGAAAACCAAAACGCTGGCCAAGGTGGAAGAATTTGAAAACGGAAATGTTCTGCCGGATAAATTTGGGTGTGTAAACAGTCGAAACGGCGTGCTGGCCTCGTTTTCCGTCACGTTTGTTTCATTTTCGGCCTTTTACACGGATCCGACAATCCAAAAAATTGTTTTTTACAATTTTCGTCATGTGATGTGTGTTGTCGTGTGCCTGTTTTCAACCATTACTTGAGTGTGATTGGTGCTCCCACGGCAACACTTGGCCCTTTGACGATCTTTGGCGGATCCTTTGCTCTCGTGTAGACGCTTGAAAACGATACAAAAGGAGACCACCTCAGATCGGCTTTGATCGTGTAAACGTAGGAAAACGAAAAAAGAAATGCGGGACTGAAAACGGAAAACTGGCCGTGCGTTGTCGTGTAAACGCAGCCTAAGAAAGATAATAGGTCCTCACCACGATCGATGTGCAATGGTCAAAATTCACTTCCGGCAGAGTTTCTAGCTCTGCGACAGGAGCATGTGCTGCCATTGTGACAATTGATGAAATTGTACGTATGCCATGCACTGGACATAGTCTTGCCTTTGCCCCATTACTTTGCCTTAGGGAGCATCTCATAAGTTCGCATTTATTTTGCAAACGTAACGCATTTCGAATAGACTTTACCCCCCTACCTCCCCCCCCCCCCCCCTCTATTCGAAAGTCGTATCGCACATTTTCTGTGTTTATCTACTGTACACGTCCATGCGGGCCCCATGCTATGCTATGTACATGTACATGGATATGAATGTTTTGCTAGAGCGGTCGTGAATGGCATACAGTAGTACGTGTACCGCATTTACTGAGTACAAGTACAATCAATGACATGTACACGCACATAAACATAGACTTCCTGCACAACAACTGTACTGCTGTAAACGCTGGCCAGGTACACTGTACACGGTTTGATCAGGCTGGTGTGACATTTGACACCTCTGAGTAGCCTGCATGCATGCAGTGCAAGGGTTAGCTGATCGGCAAACACAGGTAGATCTCCACCTAAACACACTCATTTGCTGCAGTGATCTAGCACGGTAGTAGATTGTACAGTTCCAGATAATGTGCGAACAGTCATTTTTCTATTCGAAAAGGGCGCTACCCCCTACCCCCGTTTCGAAATGCGTTACGTTTAGAAACAAAATGCGAACTTATGTGATGCTCCCTTACAAAGACCTCATCTCAAAAATTGTTTCAAGAAAATTCTGAACCAAAAGCACTTTGCAGCGTGATTTCTTGGGTCCTACTGGTAGGACGGCATGCAAGCTATCGTTTAGCTTGGGTCAAATATGTCTGTTTGTTTCTCTCTCTGTCTCTCCCCTCCCTCTCTCTCTCGCTCCCCCCTCTCTCTCTCTCTCCCCCCCCCTCTCTCTCTCTCTCTCTCTCTCTCTCTCTCTCTCTCTCTCTCTCTCTCTCTCTCTCTCTCTCTTCCTCCCCCCCCCCCCGTCTCTCTCTGTCTCTCTCTCTCCCTCCATTGTGTGGATGTAGGAAACCGTTACTTTGCTTGCAGGGAAGAGCTAGCGGAATACGTATTTCCCGAAATTGCCCAAGTCCTCCATGAACACTTTTCTCCTCGAGGTAGGTACTTTGGACACTATGGAGTATGGAGTACTATCCGAATGTACATCTACGTGCACTTTCTGTGTACATGATTCTGCAATATACTGTGTACTGCGGACTCCGGTGTCATGTATATACGCACACATACACGCACACACACTCTCTCTCTCTCTCATACACACACACACATACACACACACACACACACACACATTTGCATGCTGCTGTACTGTCTTAAAACCCACAATGTGACATGTAATACAAGCAACCAAATCACAACGGTACATTAGAACAATTCAAGCACACAAGGATATTGAGTACATGGTTTATAAAATAATTAGTTTTAGGGTATGCTGTCACGTTTTGTCTCTTTGTTCTCTGTGTTTGCACTGTTGGTTCTTTTCTGAGTCAGGATTTCGATTTTCCACACGAGCAATGCCCAATTGGCTAATCCCGCCTCTAAAGTACATTTTGACGGAGCTGAAGGTTATTGCGTCGCAAGTGGGCGTCAAAACGCGACAGGACATCTCCAAGGCGAGTAGTTCCAGATTGCAGCTGTATGCCTTCGTGTGGGTTAAGGCATCGCCGAGAATATAATTATTTGTACCTATTTTCCTTTCCTGTTCGTCTGGAAAAATGCAGGAGGTGGTATTCCATGACTGTGAATACCACAGTCGCGTAGCAGCCGGTCCGGCCGATCCGGCTTTGGCCGGACCAGTTTCTCGCCCGACCACGCCCAGAATGCAGAATTTTGCACCCTGATTTCAAATTTTTCCCAGGGAGAGATCCCAACCCCCCCCCCCCCCCTCCCCCCCCCCCTCCAGCCGGACCACCTCCATAAAAATTGCACTCTAACATGTTGTGGTGTCTGACCTGTGAGGTACAGTCACACTTCAGTGGCCATGCTTCATCATGGCTACATAGTACAGTGTACAGTGTACACACGTTTGACGGTTCACTATTGCCCGACGACGTGATGGCAAAGGTGTTGGCATACAGTACTGTCAGGCGCTGAAGAACGTAGTGTCGAAGAGGAAATTGGCCAGAATTTCACCAAGCACTACATACCAATGTATACACAGTGACTCAACTATGCATAGACCATAGTACATGATACTAAGAAGAACGACCTGGGCAACGAGGCTGATCCCCCCACTCCCCTGTTCTTCGTCGACCGACAGTACTGTAGCTATGTGAGCTGAGACTGGCCAGCGTCAAGGCCTGCCCCAACGTGTTGTGTTCCGGTGTGGCCGCCACAACGTGTTGTGTTCCGATGTGGCCGCCCCGCCGTATCGACGGCGTGCAGTGCTACCCAGTGAAATGCAACCATGCAAGTCAGTGTCAAGCCGGGGGGGGGGGGGGGGCTATGGAACCCCTGACCTGTGAACATGCGGGGGGGGGGGGTGCAGCCCATGACCAAAAATCAAGATCGGTAAAAAAGAGAATCATTTTTCTGGGGATGTCGGTGTTTTGTAGAATCTCGCGCGAACTCTCCATGAGAGAAAACTAATCAGATGCCTGTCGACGTCTAGGAGGCACTGTCGAGACTGATAGCATCTTTTTTCTGGCATGCACCGCTGTTGAAAATCATGCTCGAGTGCGTGGACGTGCTGATCGATCACGTGCGCACTCGACGTGCACACGTTGTGTCCGTCTATCACGGCCTCGGTCACGTGATTGCAACCATCATCACGTACCGGAGAGCCCTTTGGCTGCCGAACGTAATTGATGAGCGCATCGAATTGATCACACGGATCCATGATGTTCGGGAAATGGCGTCGATGCACCGCCTGCATCCGTCTATAATGCAGAGCCGCTGAGTGTTCATTGGTCGTAGGAGTCGGTATAAAAAGACTCTGCTTGCTTTCGTCATACATCATTACGCTCAATTCGTCAGCAGGGTTTTCATGCAATTTTCATGCTCTCGTCATCATGTCTGCCTCGTGCTCCAACATCTCGTGCGGACTTTCGGAGTTCGTGCATAAATTTGAAGGTGGTAACTACGATAAAGCCGTGTACTTCCACCCGAACGTGAATAAGATCGGACAAGATGCGTGGAGAATCGACAGCGCCGATATCAAAACCTATCTCAAGCCCCTGGTAGGTGAAGAGACCATCATCTGGGCGGGCATTTACAAAACTCCCATGTGGTACCTTCAACCGACAGATTTGATTGCTTTCCACGCTTTCGTCGTCTTTCAAACGAGAAACTGGTGGTGGTCTGCGGAAAAAACAACCGACGGTGTCAGCATATGCAGAGGCAAGACTCGTTCAAGCGTGAGATCTTCCTATCGAAGCACCAATCGAAAAACTCCGATAGAGGAGATTATTGCTGACAAATCACATGTAAATCTGCAGGATATGATAGATTTCCTCTACGACTCCAATCTCGTCAAGGGTATTTACAACGTTGTAACAAACAACTGTCATACGTTTGCCTCCGCTCTGTTCAACGAACTTGCAGCTACCCACTACGTCAATCATATTGCACTTCGGCATGCCAAACCCATCGACTCGGAGCATGCAATCGAATGAGTACTCGACCCCCATCCAGACACACACATTTAGCACAGATATGTTGATTTTAAAATGTTTAATTATAATTTCAGTAGATCATTCTCAGCTTGTATGAGTGTTATAACGCTGTTGGCCGGTATTTCCCCGTAGTATGAGGTCAGCTTCTCCGTATAATGTTGAAGATGTCTTGACGTTGCAGAATGATCTTTCATTTCTTCTATTGTTCGCCATTGGTTGTCGCTGCATGGAAGGAAACAGATTAAAACATGTATAAGATCTCTGGTATTTCAAATAAAGAGAATTGCACGACAGATTACTTACCAAGAACACATAAATTCAGGCTGCATCCCGGCCTCCAGCTTCCTCCGGTGGTTTTTCGAGCGGAGATGCTCGACGAACGGCCGGAGGCCGGTCATAGTCTTCGAACACAAGGAACAAGAGAGGAGCATTTTGTCTCATTCAGGTTTGTGGAATGGGGCTGATCAAGGTGGATCGAATCACTTTTATCCCCGCCCAGTTGTTCGTTGGTTGAAGGGTGCGGCGCGCGCGCAGTTCAACATTAAAACTCTGCGCGATGATCATGGAGTCTGCTGCTCAGGATGTGAAGCGGATAAATTGGGCGGTACCGTGAATACCGCATGGTGAACATCTCTTTGAAACGGAGGTAGATTGTTGAAACTCGCGCGATAAAGATGATGATCATGGTGGCTACCACTCGAAAAGGATGTGAAGAGGGTAAAGCGGTGACGTGAGTACTACATCTCTTTGAAACGTACACGATTCATATAGTTGAAAACCGGTAAAGATGATGATCATGGACCCCGCGTCACGTTCAAACTTGCCGTCTGTTCTAGTTGATTCCAGAAACTTGCGCCTGATCCGAGTACGCTGTGTGTACTCTGAGTATCGTGAGGAGTGGGACACTATCGACAATTTGCTACTCTCTGGTGGATGCAGACAGTGTGCGCGTACGACGCACACATAAGATGATTATTAGGAAATCGAGGCTGCTATTCTATACGCCCGGGGGCCTATACACGGGCTTTTCCGGTATCGATAACTCTAAACCACCTAAGTTTCCACGGGGAAAGGCCAGGGATCTGGCGTGTGACGTGACTATTAGTACAGTCATGTACTTGCAGGTGTGCAGTATTTAAAAATATGAATCTTCTACTTCTAGCTGAGCCGTTGCTGGTAGGTCGTCGTTTGGAAAATTAATAATAGCTTGCATGGACCTCGGTCCTACCGGTAAGACCATCATACACAGACATGTTGCATGGCCTCTGTTCTAACATTGACCTAAAACTTGACCCTAGACTGTTGCTAAGGGGCTAATGAAGGAGTCCAACAATTTTAGACGTGATTGTACAAGGACTATTACGAAATTCCATGGCAACAGCCCCAGGGCAACCATGGATACGGAGTATGGAATTTTGCATTCCAGCACTGTTGCAGGCTTAGGCTGCGTTTACACGACAACAACGCTGGGGGCGAAAACGCAACGAAATCCTTTCGGATCCAGGGTTCATTTACACGGTACGCGGAGCAAAACGTAAAAGTTGTGCACCAAAACGGAAGAAAACCAAAACGCTGGCCAAGGTGGAAGAATTTGAAAACGGAAATGTTCTGCCGGATAAATTTGGGTGTGTAAACAGTCGAAACGGCGTGCTGGCCTCGTTTTCCGTCACGTTTGTTTCATTTTCGGCCTTTTACACGGATCCGACAATCCAAAAAATTGTTTTTTACAATTTTCGTCATGTGATGTGTGTTGTCGTGTGCCTGTTTTCAACCATTACTTGAGTGTGATTGGTGCTTCCACGGCAACACTTGGCCCTTTGACGATCTTTGGCGGATCCTTTGCTCTCGTGTAGACGCTTGAAAACGATACAAAAGGAGACCACCTCGGATCGGCTTTGATCGTGTAAACGTAGGAAAACGAAAAAAGAAATGCGGGACTGAAAACGGAAAACTGGCCGTGCGTTGTCGTGTAAACGCAGCCTAAGAAAGATAATAGGTCCTCACCACGATCGATGTGCAATGGTCAAAATTCACTTCCGGCAGAGTTTCTAGCTCTGCGACAGGAGCATGTGCTGCCATTGTGACAATTGATGAAATTGTACGTATGCCATGCACTGGACATAGTCTTGCCTTTGCCCCATTACTTTGCCTTAGGGAGCATCTCATAAGTTCGCATTTATTTTGCAAACGTAACGCATTTCGAATAGACTTTATCCCCCTACCTCCCCCCCTCTATTCGAAAGTCTTATCGCACATTTTCTGTGTTTATCTACTGTACACGTCCATGCGGGCCCCATGCTATGCTATGTACATGTACATGGATATGAATGTTTTGCTAGAGCGGTCGTGAATGGCATACAGTAGTACGTGTACCGCATTTACTGAGTACAAGTACAATCAATGACATGTACACGCACATAAACATAGACTTCCTGCACAACAACTGTACTGCTGTAAACGCTGGCCAGGTACACTGTACACGGTTTGATCAGGCTGGTGTGACATTTGACACCTCTGAGTAGCCTGCATGCATGCAGTGCAAGGGTTAGCTGATCGGCAAACACAGGTAGATCTCCACCTAAACACACTCATTTGCTGCAGTGATCTAGCACGGTAGTAGATTGTACAGTTCCAGATAATGTGCGAACAGTCATTTTTTCTATTCGAAAAGGGCGCTACCCCCTACCCCGTTTCGAAATGCGTTACGTTTAGAAACAAAATGCGAACTTATGTGATGCTCCCTTACAAAGACCTCATCTCAAAAATTGTTTCAAGAAAATTCTGAACCAAAAGCACTTTGCAGCGTGATTTCTTGGGTCCTACTGGTGGGACGGCATGCAAGCTATCGTTTAGCTTGGGTCAAATATGTCTGTTTGTTTCTCTCTCTGTCTCTCCCCTCCCTCTCTCTCGCTCCCCCCTCTCTCTCTCTCTCCCCCCCCCCCCCTCTCTCTCTCTCTGTCTCTCTCTCTGTCTCTCTCTTCCTCCCCCCCCCCCCCCGTCTCTCTCTGTCTCTCTCTCTCCCTCCATTGTGTGGATGTAGGAAACCGTTACTTTGCTTGCAGGGAAGAGCTAGCGGAATACGTATTTCCCGAAATTGCCCAAGTCCTCCATGAACACTTTTCTCCTCGAGGTAGGTACTTTGTACACTATGGAGTACTATCCGAATGTACATCTACGTGCACTTTCTGTGTACATGATTCTGCAATATACTGTGTACTGCGGACTCCGGTGTCATGTATATACGCACACATACACGCACACACACACTCTCTCTCTCTCTCTCATACACACACACACATACACACACACACACATTTGCATGCTGCTGTACTGTCTTAAAACCCACAATGTGACATGTAATACAAGCAACCAAATCACAACGGTACATTAGAACAATTCAAGCACACAAGGATATTGAGTACATGGTTTATAAAATAATTAGTTTTAGGGTATGCTGTCACGTTTTGTCTCTTTGTTCTCTGTGTTTGCACTGTTGGTTCTTTTCTGAGTCAGGATTTCGATTTTCCACACGAGCAATGCCCAATTGGCTAATCCCGCCTCTAAAGTACATTTTGACGGAGCTGAAGATTATTGCGTCGCAAGTGGGCGTCAAAACGCGACAGGACATCTCCAAGGCGAGTAGTTCCAGATTGCAGCTGTATGCCTTCGTGTGGGCTAAGGCATCGCCGAGAATATAATTATTTGTACCTATTTTCCTTTCCTGTTCGTCTGGAAAAATGCAGGAGGTGGTATTCCATGACTGTGAATACCACAGTCGCGTAGCAGCCGGTCCGGCCGATCCGGCTTTGGCCGGACCAGTTTCTCGCCCGACCACGCCCAGAATGCAGAATTTCGCAGCCTGATTTCAAATTTTTCCCAGGGAGAGATCCCAACCCCCCCCCCCCCCCTCTCCAGCCGGACCACCTCCAACTGCGGTGCTGAGCGCCTGTACCATAAAAATTGCACTCTAACATGTTGTGGTGTCTGACCTGTGAGGTACAGTCACACTTCAGTGGCCATGCTTCATCGTGGCTACATAGTACAGTGTACAGTGTACACACGTTTGACGATTCACTATTGTCCGACGACGTGATGGCAAAGGTGTTGGCATACAGTACTGTCAGGCGCTGAAGAACGTAGTGTCGAAGAGCAAACTGGCCAGAATTTCACCAAGCACTACATACCAATGTATGCACAGTGACTCAACTATGCATAGACCATAGTACATGATACTAAGAAGAACGACCTGGGCAACGAGGCTGATCCCCCCACTCCCCTGTTCTTCGTCGACCGACAGTACTGTAGCTATGTGAGCTGAGACTGGCCAGCGTCAAGGCCTGCCCCAACGTGTTGTGTTCCGGTGTGGCCGCCACAACGTGTTGTGTTCCGATGTGGCCGCCCCGGCGTATTGACGGCGTGCAGTGCTGCTGGTGAAATACAACCATGCAAGTCAGTGTCAAGCCGGGGGGGGGGGGGGGGGGGGCTATGGAACCCCTGACCTGTGAACATGCGGGGGGGGGGGGGGGGGGTGCAGCCCATGACCAAAAATCAAGATCGGTAAAAAAGAGAATCATTTTTCTGGGGATGTCGGTGTTTTGTAGAATCTCGCGCGAACTCTCCATGAGAGAAAACTAATCAGATGCCTGTCGACGTCTAGGAGGCGCTGTCGAGACTGATAGCATCTTTTTTCTGGCATGCACCGCTGTTGAAAATCATGCTCGAGTGCGTGGACGTGCTGATCGATCACGTGCGCACTCGACGTGCACACGTTGTGTCCGTCTATCACGGCCTCGGTCACGTGATTGCAACCATCATCACGTACCGGAGAGCCCTTTGGCTGCCGAACGTAATTGATGAGCGCATCGAATTGATCACACGGATCCATGATGTTCGGGAAATGGCGTCGATGCACCGCCTGCATCCGTCTATAATGCAGAGCCGCTGAGTGTTCATTGGTCGTAGGAGTCGGTATAAAAAGACTCTGCTTGCTTTCGTCATACATCATTACGCTCAATTCGTCAGCAGGGTTTTCATGCAATTTTCATGCTCTCGTCATCATGTCTGCCTCGTGCTCCAACATCTCGTGCGGACTTTCGGAGTTCGTGCATAAATTTGAAGGTGGTAACTACGATAAAGCCGTGTACTTCCACCCGAACGTGAATAAAATCGGACAAGATGCGTGGAGAATCGACAGCGCCGATATCAAAACCTATCTCAAGCCCCTGGTAGGTGAAGAGACCGTCATCTGGGCGGGCATTTACAAAACTCCCATGTGGTACCTTCAACCGACAGATTTGATTGCTTTCCACGCTTTCGTCGTCTTTCAAACGAGAAACTGGTGGTGGTCGGCGGAAAAAACCACCGACGGTGTCAGCATATGCAGAGGCAAGACTCGCTCAAGCGTGAGATCTTCCTATCGAAGCACCAATCGAAAAACTCCGATAGAGGAGATTATTGCTGACCAATCACATGTAAATCTGCAGGATCTGATAGATTTCCTCTACGACTCCAATCTCGTCAAGGGTATTTACAACGTTGTAGCAAACAACTGCCATACGTTTGCCTCCGCTCTGTTCAACGAACTTGCAGCTACCCACTACGTCAATCACATCGAACTTCGGCATGCCAAACCCATCGACTCGGAGCATGCAATCGAATGAGTACTCGACCCCCATCCAGACACACACATTTAGCACAGATATGTTGATTTTAAAATTTTTAATTACATACTGTTTATATCGATCTGTGCTTGGATCATAGTAATTACACTGTTGATCGGCAATTCTCCGTAGTATGACCTTAGCTTGGTCATATAGTTCTTCATATGGTTGGCGGTTGATAGATGGTGCTTCAAATCTTCCAATGTCCGCCATTGGTTGTCGCTGTATGGGAGGAAACACATCAAAACATGTATAAGATCTCTGGTATTTCAAATAAAGAGAATTGCACCACAGATCACTTACCAAGAGCAGAGAAACTCAGGCTGTAGACCGGCCTCCAGCTTCTTCCTGTGTCCCTTCGACTTGAGGTGGTCGACGAACGGCTGGAGGAACATGTCGAGCATGAAAAGAGCATCTTGATGGTTGATTGAATGGGACTGATCAAGGTGGATCCAATCACTTTTATCCCCGCCCAGTTGTTCGTTGGTTGAAGGGTGCGGCGCGCGCGCAGTTCAACATTAAAACTCTGCGCGATGATCATGGAGTCTGCTGCTCAGGATGTGAAGCGGATAAATTGGGCGGTACCGTGAATACCGCATGGTGAACATCTCTTTGAAACGGAGGTAGATTGTTGAAACTCGCGCGATAAAGATGATGATCATGGTGGCTACCACTCGAAAAGGATGTGAAGAGGGTAAAGCGGTGACGTGAGTACTACATCTCTTTGAAACGTACACGATTCATATAGTTGAAAACCGCTAAAGATGATGGTCATGGACCCCGCGTCACGTTCAAACTTGCCGTCTGTTCTAGTTGATTCCAGAAACTTGCGCCTGATCCGAGTACGCTGTGTGTACTCTGAGTATCGTGAGGAGTGGGACACTATCGACAATTTGCTACTCTCTGGTTGATGCAGACAGTGTGCGCGTACGACGCACACATAAGATGATTATTAGGAAATCGAGGCTGCTATTCTATACGCCCGGGGGCCTATACACGGGCTTTTCCGGTATCGGTAACTCTAAACCACCTAAGTTTCCACGGGGAAAGGCCAGGGATCTGGCGTGTGACGTGACTATTAGTACAGTCATGTACTTGCAGGTGTGCAGTATTTAAAAATATCAATCTTCTACTTCTAGCTGAGCCGTTGCTGGTAGGTCGTCGTTTGGAAAATTAATAATAGCTTGCATGGACCTCGGTCCTACCGGTAAGACCATCATACACAGACATGGTGCATGGCCTCTGTTCTAACATTGACCTAAAACTTGACCCTAGACTGTTGCTAAGGGGCTAATGAAGGAGTCCAACAATTTTAGACGTGATTGTACAAGGACTATTACGAAATTCCATGGCAACAGCCCCAGGGCAACCATGGATACGGAGTATGGAATTTTGCATTCCAGCACTGTTGCAGGCTTAGGCTGCGTTTACACGACAACGCTGGGGGCGAAAACGCAACGAAATCCTTTCGGATCCAGGGTTCATTTACACGGTACGCGGAGCAAAACGTAAAAGTTGTGCACCAAAACGGAAGAAAACCAAAACGCTGGCCAAGGTGGAAGAATTTGAAAACGGAAATGTTCTGCCGGATAAATTTGGGTGTGTAAACAGTCGAAACGGCGTGCTGGCCTCGTTTTCCGTCACGTTTGTTTCATTTTCGGCCTTTTACACGGATCCGACAATCCAAAAAATTGTTTTTTACAATTTTCGTCATGTGATGTGTGTTGTCGTGTGCCTGTTTTCAACCATTACTTGAGTGTGATTGGTGCTTCCACGGCAACACTTGGCCCTTTGACGATCTTTGGCGGATCCTTTGCTCTCGTGTAGACGCTTGAAAACGATACAAAAGGAGACCACCTCAGATCGGCTTTGATCGTGTAAACGTAGGAAAACGAAAAAAGAAATGCGGGACTGAAAACGGAAAACTGGCCGTGCGTTGTCGTGTAAACGCAGCCTAAGAAAGATAATAGGTCCTCACCACGATCGATGTGCAATGGTCAAAATTCACTTCCGGCAGAGTTTCTAGCTCTGCGACAGGAGCATGTGCTGCCATTGTGACAATTGATGAAATTGTACGTATGCCATGCACTGGACATAGTCTTGCCTTTGCCCCATTACTTTGCCTTAGGGAGCATCTCATAAGTTCGCATTTATTTTGCAAACGTAACGCATTTCGAATAGACTTTACCCCCCTACCTCCCCCCCCCCCTCTATTCGAAAGTCGTATCGCACATTTTCTGTGTTTATCTACTGTACACGTCCATGCGGGCCCCATGCTATGCTATGTACATGTACATGGATATGAATGTTTTGCTAGAGCGGTCGTGAATGGCATACAGTAGTACGTGTACCGCATTTACTGAGTACAAGTACAATCAATGACATGTACACGCACATAAACATAGACTTCCTGCACAACAACTGTACTGCTGTAAACGCTGGCCAGGTACACTGTACACGGTTTGATCAGGCTGGTGTGACATTTGACACCTCTGAGTAGCCTGCATGCATGCAGTGCAAGGGTTAGCTGATCGGCAAACACAGGTAGATCTCCACCTAAACACACTCATTTGCTGCAGTGATCTAGCACGGTAGTAGATTGTACAGTTCCAGATAATGTGCGAACAGTCATTTTTCTATTCGAAAAGGGCGCTACCCCCTACCCCCGTTTCGAAATGCGTTACGTTTAGAAACAAAATGCGAACTTATGTGATGCTCCCTTACAAAGACCTCATCTCAAAAATTGTTTCAAGAAAATTCTGAACCAAAAGCACTTTGCAGCGTGATTTCTTGGGTCCTACTGGTAGGACGGCATGCAAGCTATCGTTTAGCTTGGGTCAAATATGTCTGTTTGTTTCTCTCTCTGTCTCTCCCCTCCCTCTCTCTCTCGCTCCCCCCTCTCTCTCTCTCTCCCCCCCTCTCTCTCTCTCTCTCTCTCTCTCTCTCTCTCTCTCTCTCTCTCTCTCTCTCTCTCTCTCTCTCTCTCTCTCTCTCTCTCTTCCTCCCCCCCCCCCCCGTCTCTCTCTGTCTCTCTCTCTCCCTCCATTGTGTGGATGTAGGAAACCGTTACTTTGCTTGCAGGGAAGAGCTAGCGGAATACGTATTTCCCGAAATTGCCCAAGTCCTCCATGAACACTTTTCTCCTCGAGGTAGGTACTTTGGACACTATGGAGTATGGAGTACTATCCGAATGTACATCTACGTGCACTTTCTGTGTACATGATTCTGCAATATACTGTGTACTGCGGACTCCGGTGTCATGTATATACGCACACATACACGCACACACACTCTCTCTCTCTCTCATACACACACACACATACACACACACACACACACACACATTTGCATGCTGCTGTACTGTCTTAAAACCCACAATGTGACATGTAATACAAGCAACCAAATCACAACGGTACATTAGAACAATTCAAGCACACAAGGATATTGAGTACATGGTTTATAAAATAATTAGTTTTAGGGTATGCTGTCACGTTTTGTCTCTTTGTTCTCTGTGTTTGCACTGTTGGTTCTTTTCTGAGTCAGGATTTCGATTTTCCACACGAGCAATGCCCAATTGGCTAATCCCGCCTCTAAAGTACATTTTGACGGAGCTGAAGGTTATTGCGTCGCAAGTGGGCGTCAAAACGCGACAGGACATCTCCAAGGCGAGTAGTTCCAGATTGCAGCTGTATGCCTTCGTGTGGGTTAAGGCATCGCCGAGAATATAATTATTTGTACCTATTTTCCTTTCCTGTTCGTCTGGAAAAATGCAGGAGGTGGTATTCCATGACTGTGAATACCACAGTCGCGTAGCAGCCGGTCCGGCCGATCCGGCTTTGGCCGGACCAGTTTCTCGCCCGACCACGCCCAGAATGCAGAATTTTGCACCCTGATTTCAAATTTTTCCCAGGGAGAGATCCCAACCCCCCCCCCCCTCCCCCCCCCCCCTCCAGCCGGACCACCTCCATAAAAATTGCACTCTAACATGTTGTGGTGTCTGACCTGTGAGGTACAGTCACACTTCAGTGGCCATGCTTCATCATGGCTACATAGTACAGTGTACAGTGTACACACGTTTGACGGTTCACTATTGCCCGACGACGTGATGGCAAAGGTGTTGGCATACAGTACTGTCAGGCGCTGAAGAACGTAGTGTCGAAGAGGAAATTGGCCAGAATTTCACCAAGCACTACATACCAATGTATACACAGTGACTCAACTATGCATAGACCATAGTACATGATACTAAGAAGAACGACCTGGGCAACGAGGCTGATCCCCCCACTCCCCTGTTCTTCGTCGACCGACAGTACTGTAGCTATGTGAGCTGAGACTGGCCAGCGTCAAGGCCTGCCCCAACGTGTTGTGTTCCGGTGTGGCCGCCACAACGTGTTGTGTTCCGATGTGGCCGCCCCGCCGTATCGACGGCGTGCAGTGCTACCCAGTGAAATGCAACCATGCAAGTCAGTGTCAAGCCGGGGGGGGGGGGGGCTATGGAACCCCTGACCTGTGAACATGCGGGGGGGGGGGGGGGGGTGCAGCCCATGACCAAAAATCAAGATCGGTAAAAAAGAGAATCATTTTTCTGGGGATGTCGGTGTTTTGTAGAATCTCGCGCGAACTCTCCATGAGAGAAAACTAATCAGATGCCTGTCGACGTCTAGGAGGCACTGTCGAGACTGATAGCATCTTTTTTCTGGCATGCACCGCTGTTGAAAATCATGCTCGAGTGCGTGGACGTGCTGATCGATCACGTGCGCACTCGACGTGCACACGTTGTGTCCGTCTATCACGGCCTCGGTCACGTGATTGCAACCATCATCACGTACCGGAGAGCCCTTTGGCTGCCGAACGTAATTGATGAGCGCATCGAATTGATCACACGGATCCATGATGTTCGGGAAATGGCGTCGATGCACCGCCTGCATCCGTCTATAATGCAGAGCCGCTGAGTGTTCATTGGTCGTAGGAGTCGGTATAAAAAGACTCTGCTTGCTTTCGTCATACATCATTACGCTCAATTCGTCAGCAGGGTTTTCATGCAATTTTCATGCTCTCGTCATCATGTCTGCCTCGTGCTCCAACATCTCGTGCGGACTTTCGGAGTTCGTGCATAAATTTGAAGGTGGTAACTACGATAAAGCCGTGTACTTCCACCCGAACGTGAATAAGATCGGACAAGATGCGTGGAGAATCGACAGCGCCGATATCAAAACCTATCTCAAGCCCCTGGTAGGTGAAGAGACCATCATCTGGGCGGGCATTTACAAAACTCCCATGTGGTACCTTCAACCGACAGATTTGATTGCTTTCCACGCTTTCGTCGTCTTTCAAACGAGAAACTGGTGGTGGTCTGCGGAAAAAACAACCGACGGTGTCAGCATATGCAGAGGCAAGACTCGTTCAAGCGTGAGATCTTCCTATCGAAGCACCAATCGAAAAACTCCGATAGAGGAGATTATTGCTGACAAATCACATGTAAATCTGCAGGATATGATAGATTTCCTCTACGACTCCAATCTCGTCAAGGGTATTTACAACGTTGTAACAAACAACTGTCATACGTTTGCCTCCGCTCTGTTCAACGAACTTGCAGCTACCCACTACGTCAATCATATTGCACTTCGGCATGCCAAACCCATCGACTCGGAGCATGCAATCGAATGAGTACTCGACCCCCATCCAGACACACACATTTAGCACAGATATGTTGATTTTAAAATGTTTAATTATAATTTCAGTAGATCATTCTCAGCTTGTATGAGTGTTATAACGCTGTTGGCCGGTATTTCCCCGTAGTATGAGGTCAGCTTCTCCGTATAATGTTGAAGATGTCTTGACGTTGCAGAATGATCTTTCATTTCTTCTATTGTTCGCCATTGGTTGTCGCTGCATGGAAGGAAACAGATTAAAACATGTATAAGATCTCTGGTATTTCAAATAAAGAGAATTGCACGACAGATTACTTACCAAGAACACATAAATTCAGGCTGCATCCCGGCCTCCAGCTTCCTCCGGTGGTTTTTCGAGCGGAGATGCTCGACGAACGGCCGGAGGCCGGTCATAGTCTTCGAACACAAGGAACAAGAGAGGAGCATTTTGTCTCATTCAGGTTTGTGGAATGGGGCTGATCAAGGTGGATCGAATCACTTTTATCCCCGCCCAGTTGTTCGTTGGTTGAAGGGTGCGGCGCGCGCGCAGTTCAACATTAAAACTCTGCGCGATGATCATGGAGTCTGCTGCTCAGGATGTGAAGCGGATAAATTGGGCGGTACCGTGAATACCGCATGGTGAACATCTCTTTGAAACGGAGGTAGATTGTTGAAACTCGCGCGATAAAGATGATGATCATGGTGGCTACCACTCGAAAAGGATGTGAAGAGGGTAAAGCGGTGACGTGAGTACTACATCTCTTTGAAACGTACACGATTCATATAGTTGAAAACCGGTAAAGATGATGATCATGGACCCCGCGTCACGTTCAAACTTGCCGTCTGTTCTAGTTGATTCCAGAAACTTGCGCCTGATCCGAGTACGCTGTGTGTACTCTGAGTATCGTGAGGAGTGGGACACTATCGACAATTTGCTACTCTCTGGTGGATGCAGACAGTGTGCGCGTACGACGCACACATAAGATGATTATTAGGAAATCGAGGCTGCTATTCTATACGCCCGGGGGCCTATACACGGGCTTTTCCGGTATCGATAACTCTAAACCACCTAAGTTTCCACGGGGAAAGGCCAGGGATCTGGCGTGTGACGTGACTATTAGTACAGTCATGTACTTGCAGGTGTGCAGTATTTAAAAATATGAATCTTCTACTTCTAGCTGAGCCGTTGCTGGTAGGTCGTCGTTTGGAAAATTAATAATAGCTTGCATGGACCTCGGTCCTACCGGTAAGACCATCATACACAGACATGTTGCATGGCCTCTGTTCTAACATTGACCTAAAACTTGACCCTAGACTGTTGCTAAGGGGCTAATGAAGGAGTCCAACAATTTTAGACGTGATTGTACAAGGACTATTACGAAATTCCATGGCTACATAGTACAGTGTACAGTGTACACACGTTTGACGATTCACTATTGTCCGACGACGTGATGGCAAAGGTGTTGGCATACAGTACTGTCAGGCGCTGAAGAACGTAGTGTCGAAGAGCAAACTGGCCAGAATTTCACCAAGCACTACATACCAATGTATGCACAGTGACTCAACTATGCATAGACCATAGTACATGATACTAAGAAGAACGACCTGGGCAACGAGGCTGATCCCCCCACTCCCCTGTTCTTCGTCGACCGACAGTACTGTAGCTATGTGAGCTGAGACTGGCCAGCGTCAAGGCCGCCACAACGTGTTGTGTTCCGATGTGGCCGCCCCGGCGTATTGACGGCGTGCAGTGCTGCTGGTGAAATACAACCATGCAAGTCAGTGTCAAGCCGGGGGGGGGGGGGGGCTATGGAACCCCTGACCTGTGAACATGCGGGGGGGGGGGGTGCAGCCCATGACCAAAAATCAAGATCGATAAAAAAGAGAATCATTTTTCTGGGGATGTCGGTGTTTTGTAGAATCTCGCGCGAACTCTCCATGAGAGAAAACTAATCAGATGCCTGTCGACGTCTAGGAGGCGCTGTCGAGACTGATAGCATCTTTTTTCTGGCATGCACCGCTGTTGAAAATCATGCTCGAGTGCGTGGACGTGCTGATCGATCACGTGCGCACTCGACGTGCACACGTTGTGTCCGTCTATCACGGCCTCGGTCACGTGATTGCAACCATCATCACGTACCGGAGAGCCCTTTGGCTGCCGAACGTAATTGATGAGCGCATCGAATTGATCACACGGATCCATGATGTTCGGGAAATGGCGTCGATGCACCGCCTGCATCCGTCTATAATGCAGAGCCGCTGAGTGTTCATTGGTCGTAGGAGTCGGTATAAAAAGACTCTGCTTGCTTTCGTCATACATCATTACGCTCAATTCGTCAGCAGGGTTTTCATGCAATTTTCATGCTCTCGTCATCATGTCTGCCTCGTGCTCCAACATCTCGTGCGGACTTTCGGAGTTCGTGCATAAATTTGAAGGTGGTAACTACGATAAAGCCGTGTACTTCCACCCGAACGTGAATAAAATCGGACAAGATGCGTGGAGAATCGACAGCGCCGATATCAAAACCTATCTCAAGCCCCTGGTAGGTGAAGAGACCGTCATCTGGGCGGGCATTTACAAAACTCCCATGTGGTACCTTCAACCGACAGATTTGATTGCTTTCCACGCTTTCGTCGTCTTTCAAACGAGAAACTGGTGGTGGCCGGCGGAAAAAACCACCGACGGTGTCAGCATATGCAGAGGCAAGACTCGCTCAAGCGTGAGATCTTCCTATCGAAGCACCAATCGAAAAACTCCGATAGAGGAGATTATTGCTGACCAATCACATGTAAATCTGCAGGATATGATAGATTTCCTCTACGACTCCAATCTCGTCAAGGGTATTTACAACGTTGTAGCAAACAACTGCCATACGTTTGCCTCCGCTCTGTTCAACGAACTTGCAGCTACCCACTACGTCAATCACATCGAACTTCGGCATGCCAAACCCATCGACTCGGAGCATGCAATCGAATGAGTACTCGACCCCCATCCAGACACACACATTTAGCACAGATATGTTGATTTTAAAATTTTTAATTACATACTGTTGATATCTATCTGCGCTTGTATCATAGTAATGACACTGTTGATCGGCAATTCTCCGTAGTATGACGTTAGCTTGGTCATATAGTTCTTCATATGGTTGGCGGTTGATAGATGGTGCTTCAAATCTTCCATTGTCCGCCATTGGTTGTCGCTGTATGGGAGGAAACACATCAAAACATGTATAAGATCTCTGGTATTTCAAATAAAGAGAATTGCACCACAGATCACTTACCAAGAGCAGAGAAACTCAGGCTGTAGACCGGCCTCCAGCTTCTTCCTGTGTCCCTTCGACTTGAGGTGGTCGACGAACGGCTGGAGGAACATGTCGAGCATGAAAAGAGCATCTTGATGGTTGATTGAATGGGACTGATCAAGGTGGATCCAATCACTTTTATCCCCGCCCAGTTGTTCGTTGGTTGAAGGGTGCGGCGCGCGCGCAGTTCAACATTAAAACTCTGCGCGATGATCATGGAGTCTGCTGCTCAGGATGTGAAGCGGATAAATTGGGCGGTACCGTGAATACCGCATGTTGAACATCTCTTTGAAACGGAGGTAGATTGTTGAAACTCGCGCGATAAAGATGATGATCATGGTGGCTACCACTCGAAAAGGATGTGAAGAGGGTAAAGCGGTGACATGAGTACTACATCTCTTTGAAACGTACATGATTCATATAGTTGAAAACCGCTAAAGATGATGGTCATGGACCCCGCGTCACGTTCAAACTTGCCGTCTGTTCTAGTTGATTCCAGAAACTTGCACCTGATCCGAGTACGCTGTGTGTACTCTGAGTATCGTGAGGAGTGGGACACTATCGACAATTTGCTACTCTCTGGTTGATGCAGACAGTGTGCGCGTACGACGCACACATAAGATGATTATTAGGAAATCGAGGCTGCTATTCTATACGCCCGGGGGCCTATACACGGGCTTTTCCGGTATCGGTAACTCTAAACCACCTAAGTTTCCACGGGGAAAGGCCAGGGATCTGGCGTGTGACGTGACTATTAGTACAGTCATGTACTTGCAGGTGTGCAGTATTTAAAAATATGAATCTTCTACTTCTAGCTGAGCCGTTGCTGGTAGGTCGTCGTTTGGAAAATTAATAATAGCTTGCATGGACCTCGGTCCTACCGGTAAGACCATCATACACAGACATGGTGCATGGCCTCTGTTCTAAGGCCGCGGTCACACCGAGCTCGATTCAGCCGTTCAGCCGAAACAAGCGCTTGTTTACGTCACTATTACCATGGAAATGGCTGAAAAATGTCCTACAAGCGACTTTCAGCCGTGGCTGACTCTCAGCCGTTTTTTTCCGGCTTGTTTCAGCCACAGCTTGTACAAGCGGCTGAAAGCCGAAATTCAAAAAATAATTTGAGTGCGCTTGGAGCTCCGGAGCACACCATGCATGTAGCTAGTTGACATGATGAACTGATTTTGATGTTCTTTCTTGTGTCCGTGGAACCGTGCTATCCCTGTGCCTTTGGTTTTGACCGTGAGTCTGTCTACCCCAACTACACTGTATTCAGTTTGATTTGGATTTTGTCCGACGACCATGGATTTCTGCCGCTGTGCCTCTAGACTGCTGCGTAGATTGTTGGAGCTGTGGTTTGAGGCCAAGACAAGGCACCACACTCACGACCGAATTCATGAAGAAAGCCGGGTACGAAGAAGAGAGTGGATTGCAACTGAGTTCAATAACGGCAACCGGCGGGGCAGAAAGCTCGACATCAGGAAACACCACCCGAACCATCGCGTCCATGCACACCGAACAAATAAAAAGAGCACGACTTCGCAATTCAGAATCCGGGCTTCCTTTGCTTCTTCATCAAAACTGAACGCTAGAACAAGTACAGTTGTAGATCGCGAACGTTCTGCTCTCCAGTTTCTTGCAAACATTGGTGTGTTTCGAGATATTCAAAGTTTGGCGGGTAAGAAAAACAAGCCATTCAAGCTTTGCACTCAAGGTCTGGTGTGACCGCGTCACAGGGATCACGCAAGCCAGCTGAGCGCCAGCGATAACAAGCCCAAAGTGGCTTGTTTCGGTGTGACCGGGGCCTAACATTGACCTAAAACTTGACCCTAGACTGTTGCTAAGGGGCTAATGAAGGAGTCCAACAATTTTAGACGTGATTGTACAAGGACTATTACGAAATTCCATGGCAACAGCCCCAGGGCAACCATGGATACGGAGTATGGAATTTTACATTCCAGCACTGTTGCAGGCTTAGGCTGCGTTTACACGACAACGCTGGGGGCGAAAACGCAACGAAATCCTTTCGGATCCAGGGTTCATTTACACGGTACGCGGAGCAAAACGTAAAAGTTGTGCACCAAAACGGAAGAAAACCAAAACGCTGGCCAAGGTGGAAGAATTTGAAAACGGTATGCTCTGCCGGATAAATTTGGGTGTGTAAACAGTCGAAACGGCGTGCTGGCCTCGTTTTCCGTCACGTTTGTTTCATTTTCGGCCTTTTACACGGATCCGACAATCCAAAAAATTGTTTTTTACAATTTTCGTCATGTGATGTGTGTTGTCGTGTGCCTGTTTTCAACCATTACTTGAGTGTGATTGGTGCTTCCACGGCAACACTTGGCCCTTTGACGATCTTTGGCGGATCCTTTGCTCTCGTGTAGACGCTTGAAAACGGTACAAAAGGAGACCACCTCGGATCGGCTTTGATCGTGTAAACGTAGGAAAACGAAAAAAGATATGCGGGACTGAAAACGGAAAACTGGCCGTGCGTTGTCGTGTAAACGCAGCCTAAGAAAGATATTAGGTCCTCACCACGATCGATGTGCAATGGTCAAAATTCACTTCCGGCAGAGTTTCTAGCTCTGCGACAGGAGCATGTGCTGCCATTGTGACAATTGATGAAATTGTACGTATGCCATGCACTGGACATAGTCTTGCCTTTGCCCCATTACTTTGCCTTTGGGAGCATCTCATAAGTTCGCATTTATTTTGCAAACGTAACGCATTTCGAATAGACTTTACCCCCCTACCTCCCCCCTCTATTCGAAAGTCTTATCGCACATTTTCTGTGTTTATCTACTGTACACGTCCATGCGGGCCCCATGCTATGCTATGTACATGTACATGGATATGAATGTTTTGCTAGAGCGGTCGTGAATGGCATACAGTAGTACGTGTACCGCATTTACTGAGTACAAGTACAATCAATGACATGTACACGCACATAAACATAGACTTCCTGCACAACAACTGTACTGCTGTAAACGCTGGCCAGGTACACTGTACACGGTTTGATCAGGCTGGTGTGACATTTGACACCTCTGAGTAGCCTGCATGCAGTGCAAGGGTTAGCTGATCGGCAAACACAGGTAGATCTCCACCTAAACACACTCATTTGCTGCAGTGATCTAGCACGGTAGTAGATTGTACAGTTCCAGATAATGTGCGAACAGTCATTTTTCTATTCGAAAAGGGCGCTACCCCCTACCCCCGTTTCGAAATGCGTTACGTTTAGAAACAAAATGCGAACTTATGTGATGCTCCCTTACAAAGACCTCATCTCAAAAATTGTTTCAAGAAAATTCTGAACCAAAAGCACTTTGCAGCGTGATTTCTTGGGTCCTACTGGTAGGACGGCATGCAAGCTATTGTTTAGCTTGGGTCAAATATGTCTGTTTGTTTCTCTCTCTGTCTCTCCCCTCCCTCTCTCTCGCTCCCCCCCCTCTCTCTCTCTCCCCCCCCCCTCTCTCTCTCTCTCTCTCTCTCTCTCTTCCTCCCCCCCCCCCCCGTCTCTCTCTGTCTCTCTCTCTCCCTCCATTGTGTGTATGTAGGAAACCGTTACTTTGCTTGCAGGGAAGAGCTAGCGGAATACGTATTTCCCGAAATTGCCCAAGTCCTCCATGAACACTTTTCTCCTCGAGGTAGGTACTTTGTACACTATGGAGTATGGAGTACTATCCGAATGTACATCTACGTGCACTTTCTGTGTACATGATTCTGCAATATACTGTGTACTGCGGACTCCGGTGTCATGTATATACGCACACAAATACACGCACACACACTCTCTCTCTCTCTCATACACACACACACACACATTTGCATGCTGCTGTACTGTCTTAAAACCCACAATGTGACATGTAATACAAGCAACCAAATCACAACGGTACATTAGAACAATTCAAGCACACAAGGATATTGAGTACATGGTTTATAAAATAATTAGTTTTAGGGTATGCTGTCACATTTTGTCTCTTTGTTCTCTGTGTTTGCACTGTCGGTTCTTTTCTGAGTCAGGATTTCGATTTTCCACACGAGCAATGCCCAATTGGCTAATCCCGCCTCTAAAGTACATTTTGACGGAGCTGAAGGTTATTGCGTCGCAAGTGGGCATCAAAACGTGACAGGACATCTCCAAGGCGAGTAGTTCCAGATTGCAGCTGCATGCCTTCGTGTGGGCTAAGGCATCGCCGAGAATATAATTATTTGTACCTATTTTCCTTTCCTGTTCGTCTGGAAAAATGCAGGACTATGAATACCACAGGGGCGTAGCAGCCGGTCCGGCCGATCCGGCTTTGGCCGGACCAGTTTCTCGCCCGACCACGTCCAGAATGCAGAATTTTGCACCCTGATTTCAAAATCTTCCCAGGGGAGAGATCCCAACCCCCCTCCGGCCGGACCACCTCCAACTGCGGTGCTGAGCGCCTGTACCATAGAAATTGCACTCTAACATGTTGTGATGTCTGACCTGTGAGGTACAGTCACACTTCAGTGGCCATGCTTCATCATGGCTACATAGTACAGTGTACAGTGTACACACGTTTGACGATTCACTATTGTCAGACCAATCGAAAAACTCCGATAGAGGAGATTATTGCTGACCAATCACATGGAAATCTGCAGGATATGATAGATTTCCTCTACGACTCCAATCTCGTCAAGGGTATTTACAACGTGACAACAAACAACTGCCATACGTTTGCCTCCGCTCTGTTCAACGAACTTGCAGCTACCCACAACGTCAATCACATCGAACTTCAACATGCCAAACCCATCGACTCGGAACATGCAATCGAATGAGTACTCGACCCCCATCCAGACAAACATTTAACACAGAGATATGTTGATTTAAATTTTTTTTAATTATAAAGTTAGTATCTCGGTATTTGCTTTGATGAGGGTTATTAAGCTATCGTGCCGCAAAACTCCGTAGAAGTTCTCCAGTTTCTCGAGATAGAAACGAAGATGTTTCTCCGTCTTCAGGTGGTTCTTCATCATCTGCATCGATCGCCAGTGATTGTCGCTGCATGGGGAAACAGATCAAAAACAATATGTATCAGATCTCCGGTATTTCAAATAAAGAGAATTGCACGACAGATCACTTACCACGAGCAAAGAAACTCAGGCTGATGACCGGCCTCCTGCTTTTTTTGATGTCTCTTGGACATCAAATGGTCCACAAACGGCTGGAGGCCGGTCATTGTTTTGGAGCACAGAGAACAGCTGAAGAGCATGATTGCTTGTTTGTTGAATGGGACTGATCAAGGTGGATCCAATCACTTTTATCCCCACCCAGTTGTTCGTTGGTGGAAGGGTGCGGCGCGCGCACAGTTCAACATTAAAACTCTGCGCGATGATCATGGAGTCTGCTACTCAGGATGTGGAGCGGGTAAATTGGGCGGTACCGTGAATACCACATGGTGAACATCTCTTTGAAACGTGTGGGACTCACATGGTAGATTGTTGAAACTCGCGCGATAAAGATGATGATCATGGTGGCCACCACTCAAAAAGGATGTAAAGCGGGTAAAGCGGTGACGTGAGTACTACATCTCTTTGAAACGTGCACGATTCATATAGTTGAAAACCGCTAAAGATGATATCATTGACCCCGCGTCGCGTTCAAACTTGCCGTCGATTCTAGTTGATTCCAAAAACTTGCGCCTGATGAGAGTACGCTGTGCGTACTCTGAGCATCGCGAGGAGTGGGACACTATCGACATTTTGCTACTCTCCGGTTGATGCGGACAGTGTGCGCGTACGACGCACACATAAGATGATTATTAGGGTTTGCTGAGTGTTGTTGTTGTTGTGGTGATCTGTGCACAAAAAAGCAATCGTACGAGGACGTCTTCAGCTGTAGCACCTGCACACATAAAAAGAGTAGAGTTGGCATGGTAATAGGATTGTCATGGTGATAGGGTTACTAGGGTTATCGTCATAGTGCTAGGGTTATCGTCATGGTAAAATTTAGGGTTATCGTCTTGGTGATAGGGTTATCAGGAATATTAGGGTTATCGTCATGGTGTTAGGGTTAGGGTCATCAGAAATATTAGGGTTAGGGTTATCATTATCAGAAATATTAGGGTTATCATCCCCAGGAATATTAGGGTTATCGTCATGGTGATAGGGTTAGGGTTACCGGGAATACTAGGGTTATCGCCATGGTGATAGCCCTAGGGTTAGGGTTATCGTCATGGTGATAGGGTTAGGGGCTTGCGGTTATTAGACACCCTTAGCAAACAACGGTAACGCTATTTTTTACGGTACTCGTACCTTGATCACCCAAATAGCGTTGAAGCTGCAGCGTATAAACGTTATGGGGGCTGATTTATCGTTGTGACCAACGGTACGTGTTTTGGCCAAATATTGCATAGTCCGTACGCATTTCACCTTGTATCGCGTATATGGTGACAAAAATGGTTGTACCGCGCGAAATTGAAGCTACTCTCGTGGCAACAGCGTACTAAAAATAGCGTGCATCTTGCTAAAGGTCTAACCCAAATCACGGTATTTTCCCCCTTACGATAATACCGTTACAACATAACGTTTTTTGCTAAGGGTGTCTATTATTATTATTACTTGCATGTACGCGTTGGAGTCAACCATGCAAGCATGATCCACAACTTCGCTTATGCTGAACATGATAAACAGGACTATGACAGGGGAAAGAAATTGAGCTAGAACGATGATATAATGATATAATTATCATATACAATGTAGTTCAATGTAATTCCTGATGATGGGCGTTGCCCGAAAATTTGATCTTATGTATATCAATTGCAGTGTAGCCTAGAGACCGTTAGAGAGAGTGTGTACAAGGTGTGTGTACAGGATGTATGGATATACAGTTGTGGCAAGTGAAATCCGACACTTGCCATAGGGGACAGCGCCTCAAATGGACATCAATGATGTAATGCACTGCACCTAATTTGTGCTATAGAGCCGTATGCATCCCAAACAGGTCGAAAGGTCACAGCTTAGATACACACAGTTCACAAACATGGTACACATAAGGAGTATTGGTATCCAATTCCCATTCATTTTTGCCAGCACCTTTTGAACCTTGACTGTGATGAGTACGAATTCTGTCATCAGACAGATAAAGTTGTATGCAACACATGTACTGTACCAAGAGTACATGAAAACCAGAGTGTGCAGCTCGGATGGGTTGCTGTCACGGCGAAATTCCGTGATTACATCATTTTAGTGATGTAGTGCGTACAAGCAGGATTCAAGCAGGTCTCTTTCTGCACAACTGCAGCTCAGTTGTACGCACTACGCCATTTCCCGCCTCAGATCTGGGCCAAATATGATGTAATCACGGAATTTCGCCATGACAGACACCCATAGCAGAAAAGGCCCCAAGCTGCACACTCTGGTTTTCATGTACTCTTGACTGTACGTATGCAGGGCTGCAGAGGCTGCAGGATGCACGGTGCAGTCCCTTATGCCAAGTGTCGGATTTCACTTGCCACAACTGTACAATGTAGCTCATGGGTATTGAAGATATGTCATTTACGAATATGTCTACAGTCCATTTCAAAACTATAGACGAGTAGGGTTTTTGAAATATTTCAAATTTGGCTGGAGCTTTTTGAGAATAGTTTTCGGAATATTGCTCAGGTCCGCTCCACAATTACTCTCATATAGTTTCTAAACGATTGGATAACAGACGCCCAATTTGGAAAAATTTATGCACAAAGTGATCACAGATTTTATGTGGTATAGATGCTGGCATAACGGTTTTTGCCTAGGTACGCGTCTATAGTTTTGAAATGGACTGTATACGTCATTGAATATTGCAGCCTGAGTGATAATAATAGTGCTATTTCCTGAGTTTGGCTGTTTCAGGATCTGTCGGAATATCACGATGCACAGATCTTCATACATAGATCTCGCCATGCGGGTCGGTCATGGGCAATGGCTCGCAGTCTCTGCAGAGCGTCTAGGTTCCCGAGCAATCCAGCATTGGCTTGGCGCACATCGTTATCATCATCAGAAATATTAGAGTTATCGCCATGGTGATAGCCCTAGGGTTAGGGTTATCGTCATGGTGATAGGGTTAGGGTACCCGGGATTATTAGGGTTAATATGCCCACATTTTTAGGGTTAAAACGCATAGATTTTATAGGGTTAACTTGCCCCGGTTTTAGGGTTAAATCGCATGACGTCATCGATGACATCATGTGTAAAACGCTCCGATTTTAGGTTAAATCGCAAACATTTACCGTAAATCGGGAAAATTAGTGTTAAAACACCCCGTTTTTAGGGTTAAATCGCTATGACGTCATCGATGACGTCAGTGAGTTGGAACACGCCTAATACTTTCTACTTGTGTTTCTCTCATGTCCACATCACGCTTTGATCTTCAGACCATCAAGGAATTTGATTTCACCTACGTACCGCCGCGCAAGTCCATTGTGGACGCCGGCGAGTCGGCCATTGAGTTTGGCGCTGTGCGACTGCCAGCTAACTACCGACCCCCGGCCAAGCCTGCTCAGGACGCCGAGACCGTTGAGACCACTGCTGCAGCAACGAACACAGCATCAAACGAGGACAGCGAGCGAGTGGCAGTACCCGCAGCAGAAGCAGAGCCGGCACAGGCCACAGCTGAGATACGAGACGAGGCGCCTTAATCCACCACTGAGCCAGGAGCCTCTTTTCAGATCAGCACTGATTGTGCCAGCAGGACCAGCAGCACCAGGAGGGTCAAAAGCCAGAGCCACTCCATGAATGACTGAGCACCCCAACAACAGTACCACACCGAAGCATGTCGCAGAGCAGTGACATTGCAGCATGATGATCAGTAGGGGTGAAACGATTAGTTCGAATATTCGAGTATTCGTTCGAAAATTTCAAACGAGCGAGTATTCGAAATTTTGCACTCGATCGTTTTTTTTAAATATTTTTTTTAGGATTGGCATTGTATTTTTTTAAAACTTTTGTTGTACCGCTGGTCCACTGGTATGCATGCGTTATTCATGGCTTTGAGTCAGTTTTTTTAAGATTTGGACGATGCGTTCACCACAGCAAGTAACGTTCTGAGATATGAAAGTACTGATGAAAATTGTTACTTTACACTCTGTACAAGACGTTGGCGACTTTTGTTCTATGTTCACAGATAATTTCTTCCGAATTGGTCGAGAACTTGCAAATCTAGCGCTTTTGAATTTTGATAAAATACTCGAAATAATCGGATACTCGATCGAATATTATGAACGAGTGATCGGTTGGTCAAAATAGATACTCGTTTCACCCCTAATGATCAGTTTTATTATTATTATTATTATTATGAATATGATGTGTCACTGATTCGATTCCACGTGTTAGTTTCAACAGTTTAGGATTGAGGTATGTTGCAGGCAAGTAGTAGGGCAATACCGAGACAGGCTGTGCTTAGTTGCACTCACACAACACGCACACCCACACACAACACGCACACCGCCGTCAATACCAGGCTCAGTTCACCATTGCCGACTCTTGCTGTTCCAATGTGACAATAATTTGGAGCTCCACTCCATTCCATAATAATAAGTGCAGTATGTGATTTGAAAATCAGCAATAGTTCCCCATTTCAAAACCCAGTCTAAAAATGGCAATAATTATGATCAAGAGTGCATAAACAAGAGTATGCAACTGTGGTTATGGGTCAGTGCGCGGCGCGCTGCCTTCATTACGTAACTTGCCTTTATCATGCTCTGAAAGCATGCATTCAAACTCTCAATTTCTCACACGAGCCCATCCGTTTTTGCTCGATTCGTTCCAGTACCTACACAATCTCTGAATTCTGGCGCGTGAACTCCAGTTCCGTACGAAAGTTCATTTCAAACTGGAGGGAAAGTGCGGTGTTTGATTTTCCGCTGTGCGCGGACTGCAGCTGAATGATGTAATGAAGGCAGCGCACTGCGTATCTGGCCCATAGAAAAGAGATCACAGTTGCATACTCTTGTTATGATCTATACTATGCTTGGCTAGGCACGTAGCTGTATGCGTATGCATGAAAAATCTACACTTTACGACAGTGAGTAGATAGTTTACTACTCTGTGCTTAACGATAGAGGAGGCCAGGTATATTATTCTGGTCACATAACGCTGTAGAACGGGCTGGATTCCGTATCAGTGAGCACAGCTTGAGCATGCATGCTACACGGGCAGGTGGAGCTTGAGTAGCGCGTCCAGCAAGGTCGTCCACTTGGCTCCACGTACAGCCGCGGGCATGCTACACAGGCTGGAGTTCTGCATCATCAATAATATTATTTTTATCAAAAAACTAAAAACAACCTGGTCCCCAGGGTCAGCATGCAGCAGATCAGCAGAAAGATTATTGAATTGGTCAAGTCAATGTCGACACTCGGCTAAAAGGATCATGGGAGGCTAAATTTGGAAAAAAGAACGTAAACTATTCCAGCACATCGTCACGATGTTTATGGCCACAGGCAGCCTTGACGTTTGCAATGTAGCCATGGCAACATCACCTTGGAAACTGTGAGTTGTTGTTACTAGTAGCATATGTGCCCATCATCAGCAAGGTGGTTTCTTGTCGGGTGCAAGGTAAGTGTCTTTGGGATGACTGACGGCCACCTTGATGAAGATGCTATCGTCGCGCACGTACGAACTGCCCTGGTTCAGGATCTCACGAGGGGCAAACTTCGGGCAGCCGGTACCTGTACGGCGTGTGGGTGGGGGGGGGGGGGGAGAGAGAGAGAGAGAGAGAGAGAGAGAGAGAGAGAGAGAGAGAGAGAGAGCACAAAGATCACGATAACCATCAATGCATCATTGACGACTGCCCACAGGCCAAAACATTCGATTTCTTTTTTTTTTTAAAGTAAGGCGAGACCAAAATAAAATCGAGATTTCCGGGCAGGGCCCATGTGAAATAGGTGCGGGCGGGCGAATTTTATTTTTTATATTTTTTCCCATGTATGTACATGACTATATATGTGTGCATGCCATGTTGAACTTTTTTTACAGCATTTTCCGGTAATTTTTATTCAATTGTTTTACAGAAAACAGGTACGCGGTTTACCCGTTCAATTTTTCTATAATTCGGCCAACGATGGCCCTGATCTGTACATCTGGGAGTCGCAGAAGCTCGGGTTTGTGTGACTCCACGTCACAGATCTAGTCACACGATCAGTACTGTACATGTATGAACTGTTCAAAATAAATGGGCTTTGGCTCGATTTTGGTGCGGGAGGGCCCGGGAATCTCTATTTTTTGGTCTCGCCTAAGCAATTCAAGTCAGACAAAGTCTGTGATTCAAGTTAGAAATGGTGAGTCAAGTTGGAAGAAGTTCTCACAATTGTATAGAATAACAAAGCCGGAATGAGAATAATTATAGCTTTGCAGCAAAGCAAGTACTTTTAAAAATAAGTACATGTCTGACCATTCACCAATCAATATTAAATAATAGAGAGGTTATTAATAAAGATGCACGTTATTTCCGACTTACGCGCAATTTCACGTCAAATTTGGCACAAAACTCCAAATTTCGACGTGAGCATCAGGTCACTCGCGTTGTTTTTCAACGCGGGAACCAAATAACAAGAGCTGAACTTTCACGGCACGTCAGAAATAGCGTGCATCTTAACCTCTCTAATACCTAGTACGATCGGTGCCAGGAAATCCCAACAAATTCTGACTTGGGGTTGGCACGGTGTTCAATGCGTGTCATGTGACCAAAACTAGGGCAGCTTGGTCACATGACCCGGCTGGGAAACCTCTCGGGGATTCGCCGGGATATTTCGTCACCGACCCCATACTTGTATATAAGAGGCCGCCTATGCGTGAGAGTCAGCCAGAGTGACGTTTCACGTCTGCAGGAACACCACGGCAAGCAAGGACCACGGCGATTCACCGACAAGAAACCGCCAGGAGACGCCGAGACCCCAGGTCGGCTGACGGCAACAAGCCTCACCATCACTATCCTCCTATAATGCAAGTTGTTGTCCTTGCTTGTGGGTCAAAGCCCAATTGAGCAAAGCTATAGACTAAAAACAATCCCAAACATCTGACGGTGGTCTCTCCCTAAAAAGAATTCACGGTTCGCGTTAAACTCAGCTGGGGGCCGAGTTTCCTGCATCCGTCACCATGACGTCACCATGACGTCACCACCCTCTGTGGACGTCACCACCCTCTGTGGACGTCACCACCTTCTGGGGACGTCACCACCCTCTGTGGATCAAGACACAGATTTTTTTACTAAGGCCACAGCTTCCAATCAGGACATGCAAAGCAGATGCAGCTCCTAAAGCAGTGCCGTCTCTCCCTACCTGTGTTCATATTGGTGGTTGGCTTCTGGAACGCGGCGCTGTTCTGTCCCGGGCGAAACGACTCCTCGAAATGAGACCTCTCCTTCTGCGGCTCACTCTCGTTTTGGCTGAGCAATGACAGCGTGACCTGGACACGTTACACACAGAGAGGGAGAATAACACAGAAAGGGGAGGCATAGAAATGTTTTTGTTTTTTCAGAGTAAATTATCGCGTCCGCTCCCAAGGGAACTCACGAAGGCCGCTAACACCCGCTAACACCTAGCAGCAGATGCAGCGCCTAACAGTGAGGAGAGGCATAGCATGGGAGATAAGGAAGGATGACACAGCGGGGAGACTACAAAAAAAAAGTAGCAATGGCAAAGGCAGCCTACTGTAAAAGCAGAAATTTTCGGAGGTGTAATATTTTCGGTATTCTCCAAAATCGGTGGTTCGGCGGAGGGAAATTTTCGGTAAACCCGCGTTCCATGTAAGTGTACTATTTTCGGTGCGTTTTATTTTCGGTAAAAATTTCGGCACCGAAGTTACCGAAAATATAACACCGCCGAAAATTTCTGCTTTTACAGTATAGTCAATTCTGGGCATAGGGACAGGAGGTGATGATATGCCTGGTCCACACTACTTACTAGGCCGATTTTTCGGCCCATACAGAATCGTACGAACAATTCTCAAGATCGGCGCGAAAAAATTGCCTGGTGTGGACGATGTTGTCGCACACGTTTCCGACAAATTTGTGTGTGCGTGTGCGGGTGTGTGCGTGTGTGTGTGTGTGTGTGTGTGTGTGTGTATAGGTAGTCCGACCCAGTCGGGCGATATCATGTCAGAGTAGGTGTCGGAGCATCGGCCGAAAAATCTGCGTAGTGTGCACACACCGCTAGACCTCCTGTTTCAAATTCAATGAGCCTGGCATAGTGAGGGCAATGCTCATATCCTGTACCTCGTCCCATTTCGCCTGCATGTACCCAATACCAGATGGGTCTCCTGGATGTAGAAACAATCTTCACTCAAACTAGTAATCTAACCCAGAACCTCATGTTTGGAAGGTCCCTGTGTTAAAATGTAAGAAAGAAATGTGTGTATGTGTCTGTGTGTATGTGTCTGTGTGTATGTGTCTGTGTGTCTATATGCATGTACACGTGTATGTTGTGTCTATGCAGGGTTTTAGCCAAAA